GGTGGTAGAGGTCCAGACATGAGCAAAAAAGCTCAGGAACAGCACATAGGTCCTAAGTTCAAGCCCTAGGACCAACACACACACACACACACACACACACACACACACACACACACACACACACACCTTGGGTAGAAAGCATTGGCATTTTCACCCTAAAGAGTAGCCCTATCCCCAGTACAGTATTTCCCAACCACAATAGGGTCGGATGATCTGGATCAGGGAGAAGTGAGAGGGACTGAGCCTTTTGTGTGTGTGTGAAGAGTAGAGTTAAATTAAGCACAGAGTAGGAGTATATGAACAAATGCACGCAGCAAGTTTAGAACACACCCTCAATGTGTTTCAGTGACTCTCACTATTGTAATAGAAAGATGGCTACAAATACTACTGCAGTCTTCCCTCTATAAGAGAGAGCTCGGCTTCATCACTGTATGGATCATCACTGTGTGGGTCCTGCATGTCCCGTTCCTGCCTCTAAGAAATGCTTACTGATTTCTGGAGCTTATATCCGGGGCCCTTGACCTGTCATCCTTTAGAATCCTGAACTCACTTGATCACTGCCCGGATCCTGTATTGTGCTGTCTCTATACTTACCCACTGTCTTGGTCAGCTCAAGTTGCTATAACCAAAGAGACGTTTATTTCTCAAAGTTCTAGAGACTGGGAAACACAAGATCAACGTGGGATCAGATCCAGGGCCTGGTGAGGGCCTCTTCCCAATTTGCAAATGTCTGATTTCTCATCATATTCCTACCAGATGTGGTGGCATTGGCCTGTAATTCCAGTGACTCAGGGGGCAGAGATCCAGAGGATTGCGGTTCAGAAGCCAGGAGAAAGAAGAGAAGAGGAGAGGAGAGAGGAAGGGAAGGGAAGGGAAGGGAAGGGAGGGGAAGGGAGGGGAAGGGAGGGGAAGGGAGGGGAGGGGAGGAGGAAAGGAAGGAAGGAAGTTAGGAAGGAAGGAAGGAAGTTAGGAAGGAAGGAAAATGAGAGACCCCATCTCACCAAACAGACTCTCTCTCTCTCTCTCCCTCCCTCCCCCCTCTCTCCGTGTGTGTGTGTGTGTGTGTGTGTGTGTGTGTGTGTGTGTGTGTGTGTGTGTGTGTGTGGCTATTGGAGCTTGAACTCAGGGCCTGAGCATGGTTCCTTAGCTTTTTCACCCAAGGTTAGCACTTTACCACTTTCCTCACTTCCAGCCTTTTGGTAGTCAAGTCTGATAAAGAGTCTCACAGACTTTTCTTCCCCAGCCTGGTTTTGAACTTTGATCCTCAGATCTCAGCCTCCTGAGTAACTAGAATTATAAGCATGAGCCACCAGCATTTAGCTTTGTGTGTGTTTTTAAATGTTGTTTGCAAACAAGTTTTAAATAAATGTTGCCACGCAAATATTAAAGGCATGTTTTCTTACTGTCCTAAATTCTTCAGATATATGGAAGAAATAGAATGACCATATTTTAATGAGTTTAATTTTTACTTGCATTCATGTTTAGAAGTTAATAATACACTCACTCTCTTTCTTTCTAGTACCAGGTCTTGAACTCAGGGCCCCATGTCCTCATTCAACTTTCTTGCTCACATCTGGTATTCTACCACTGAGCTACACCACCAGACAGATTTTTTGCTGGTTCATTGGAGATGGAATCTTGAGGACTTTTCTGTTTGACTGGTTTTGAACTGAGATCCTCCAGGTCTCAGCATCCTGAGTAGCTAGGATGACAGGTGTGAGCCATCAGAACTCAGTTCACATTCACGTTTTCAAAAATCAAAATGATACGAAAGGTTATCATTGAGAAATGCACCTCCCATACTGGCCTTTACCTCCACCCACTAGAAGTCAACATGTTTGCTTGTTTGTTAGTTCTTTTTTCATGTTCTCTTCACTAGTTATACTTATTTAAGTACCAGACACTAGGAATATTCTTGTCTGCTTCCTTTTTTATACGAAAGGTAGCATGCTATGTACAATACTACGGGCTTAATTTTTTCTGTGTGTGTGTGTCTGTGTGCGCGCACCAGTCCTGGGGCTTGAACTCAGAAGCTGGGCATTGTCCCTGAGCTTTTTTTGCTCAAGGCTGGTGCTCTACCACTTGAGCCACAGCTGTACTTCCGGCTTTCTGGTGGTTCATTGGAGATAGGAGTCTCACAGACTTTCCTGTTCCGGCTGGCTACAAACCATGATCCTCAGATCTCAGCCTCCTGCATAGCTGGGTTACAGGTGTGAGCCACCAATACTCAGCAATTCTCCCTCCCCCCGCCCTGAGTTCTTTCCATATCAGAATGTAGAGAACTTTCTTAATTGTGACAGTTGTCATGTCCCTTAGAAAGATGCATCTAGTGGTTGTACAAGGTAAATGCTTTCACCACTAAATGATGCTCCAACAAAAGACCTCATACCTATACCACTTCCCCCACAGATAGCACACCTGTAGCATAACATCCCAGCACTGGCTTGCTAGGCTGAAGGGCAAGCACCTACTCAGGGTTGACAGAGAGGGTGCCAGCTTGCCTTCCCTTGGCAGGAACTAAGAGCTTTCCCACTCACACTAGGCCTGGCGGTCATGCCCCTTCCCCACAGCCCTAGCAACAAAGTTGTTAGACTGTACTATTGTTTTTTATTTGCTCACCTGATAAGTGATAAATGGTATCTCAGTGTAACTTTAATGTTCATTTATCTTCTTATGAATGAGGCGGAGCATCTCTTCATAAGAATGGTATTTTAAACACTTATGGTGAGTGACAGAAAGCTCATTAGGGCTAATTGAAGTAAATGAAGGGGGAAATGACTCTAAGAATTACAGAGGTGTCTCATGAAGAATAGAAAAGCCAGCCAGCTTGGGACCCAAATCTAGAAGAGAGAATGAGTGAACTGGGTTCCTCCTCCTCCTCCCCCCTCCTCCTCCCCCCTCCTCCTCCCCCCTCCTCCTCCCCCCTCCTCCTCCCCCCCTCCTCCTCCTCCTCCCCCCTCCTCCTCCCCCCTCCTCCTCCCCCCTCCTCCTCCTCCTCCTCCTCCTCCCCCCTCCTCCCCCCTCCTCCCCCCTCCTCCTCCTCCTCCCTCCTCCTCCCCCCTCCTCCCCCCTCCTCCTCCTCCCTCCTCCCCCCTCCTCCTCCTCCTCCCTCCTCCTCCCCCCTCCTCCCCCCTCCTCCCCCCTCCTCCCCCCTCCTCCTCCCTCCTCCCCCCTCCTCCTCCCTCCTCCCCCCTCCTCCTCCCTCCTCCTCCCTCCTCCTCCCTCCTCCTTTCTTCTTCTTCTCCTACTTCTTGTCCTCCTTCTTCTTCTTCTTCTTCTCCTCCTCCGCCCCCCCCCTCCCTTCCTTCTTCCTCTCGTTCTTGGGCTGGCAATGGGGCTTGAATTCAACCTCTGGTGCTGTCTCACCTTTCAAAGCCTGGCTTTGAATCATGATTCTCAGATCTCAGCCTCCTGAAGAGCTAGGATTACAGGTGTGAGCCACTAGCTATCAAGGGTATTTATTACATTTGACTGCTCACCAGGTATGGGTAGAGGTGAAAGGGTGCTGTGTCTTAAGGCTTTATTCATTTACACATTCACTCACTCTGTATTTATTGGGTGTTTAGAAGGTGTCAGATATGAGCTTCACAGGTCACAGCTTCCAGGAGCTCTGAAGTGGTCCATTGCGGCCTCCTCTCCTCCCCTCCCAGAGGGAAGGGTGTGATGGGGTGAGAGGGTGTAGATGCAGGGCCTTAAAGAACTTGGGGGCTTCATTGGGACAATTCCTGTCCTCTTATCCGGTCCTCCTCCCCAAGCGCAGGCGCGGGAGAGTGTCTCAGTTGGATATTAACGGGTGTCAATCATACATCTCTCTACCATTTGTTAATCTCCTTTAGCAAAGGAAGGCCTTAACTCAAAGCAGATACACTGTGTGTGTATGTGTTCCGGTTCTGAGGCTTGAACTCAGGACGTGGGCATTGTCCCTGAACTTTTTTGCTCAAGGCTGGTGTTCTACCACTTGAGCCATACCTCTACTTCTGGCTTTTTGCTGGTTAGTTGGTGATCAGAGTCACATACTTTCCTGTCCAGGCTGGCTTCCAACCTCGATCCTCACCCTCTCAACATTACAAACATGAACCACGGATGCCTGCCTGAAATACTTATTTTTTTCCGATGGTGTACAAATATGCCCAGAATTTGTGACGAGAAGACTGAAGTGCGTGACACGTGGGGAGACTACCGCATTTCTGTCTCTTCCTGATCAGCCCCATTTTACAGCTGAGCAAACGGCAACTCTTTTGCGGAGAGAGTACTGGCAAGCAGAGTCCAGCATTTATCTTTGTGGTGGAGTTAGATGAGATATGAAATAAAGATTGCGCTTCCTCTGCAGGACGTGTGTGTGTGTGTGTGTGTGTGTGTGTGTGTGTGTGTGTGTGGCCGGATGAGTGACAGCCGAAGCCCCTCCCTCTAGGAGATGCGGGCCGCAGGACCAATGCGATTGCATGGAGGGGCCGTGGGCACCGGTCTGTCTGCAGAGGCCGGGTGGGTTCTGGCCTGCAGGATCCCGTAGGGCCTTTTGCTTTGGGACCTCGCGGGGTGGTGGGTGCAGCGGGGTGTGTGTGTGTGTAATATGAGGAGCTCATTCCTTTCATGCACCCCCAGGGCCGAGGACCAGGCTGTGTGTGTGTGAGGCCCGCAGGCTGCGGAACCCGCGCGCGCCGCAGCGCTGCGGCTGAGCACACGGTGCTCAGCCCCGCGGCCACCCGGGGGTGCCAATATGTAAAGCAGCTGGTGGCTCGGGGCGGGGCTTCGACCGCGATGCAAATGAGGAAGGCGGGGCCTCGGCGGGGCTCCGCCCCCCTCCCCCGCAGCTGGGGCCAGCGGTGCCAAGCGCAGCTGGACCGGTGGCAGTGGCGGCGGCGGCGGCGGCAGCTGGGTGAGTGACAGCCCGGCTCGGGGCGCGCGCGCGGCCGGCGCAGGGGAAGCGCCCGCGGCCCGGGGCGGCGGCGGCGGCGGCAGCAGCGGCAGCAGTAGCAACAAGCCAGCGGCGGCCGCCGCCTCCTCTCTCCCGTTGCCTTCCGGGCCCAGATTCCCACCGGCCCCCCCCTCGCCACCCCCGGCAGCCCCTCGGGGGCCGGTACCTCTCTCGGGTCTCTCTCTCGGGTTCTCCGGTTCCCCGCGCGCAAGATGGCTGACCCGGCTGCGGGGCCGCCGCCGAGCGAGGGCGAGGAGAGCACGGTGCGCTTCGCCCGCAAAGGTGCCCTCCGGCAAAAGAACGTGCACGAGGTGAAGAACCACAAATTCACCGCCCGCTTCTTCAAGCAGCCCACCTTCTGCAGCCACTGCACCGACTTCATCTGGTGAGAACGCGCGGCGCCCCTGCCGCCTGCCGGCCACCTGCCGGGCCCCGAGGGGCGCCCGGCGCGGACGGTCCCGCCGCTCGCCCGGCCCGCCCCGCGCTCCCGCCCGGCGCCCGCCGCGTGCCTCTCCTCACCCCCCGCCCGGCACAAAACGCGCCCGGGGGAGCAGCGCCGCCGCCGGCACCTTTCCCCGCCCCGGCCCCGAGCGCGGGCCGCAGGGCAGCGCCTTCTCGCCCCAGGGCTTCCCTACCTCGGTCTCCTCCGGGACTCCGGGCGCCCTCACCCGCACTGCCCGGGGAGGAGGCGGCTCGCGTGGACTGCCCCCCCCCATGAAAGCATGAGGGGTGTCTTGTCTTCCCCTGGGGACCCCCCCTCCCCACACCCGGAGTTGCCCTGCGGTTGTTTTTTTGTTTTTTGTTTTTCCCCTTCTTCTCTTGCGCCTCTTTCCCCCCCTCCGGGCCTGGGTCCTCTCACCCTGGCGTGGCTGCGGGTCCCCCCTCTCTCCCGTGTCCTTTTCCCCTCACAGGGTCTCGGGAAAGGGGGGGGGGCGACACCACCCTCTGGGGCCCTCTCCTGGGTCTTTTCTGGATGAAGTCTTTTCCTCTTGCCCAGAGGGTACTCCGTGGGGAGATCTCCCTAGAAAGATCTCCAGCCTGCTTTGCACCCCTCATTTCCACCGAAATGCCCTCCCTCCCCTGGCCATCCCTCTAAGAGTGCTCGTCTTCCGCTGGGGTGACAGGAGGTGGGGGTTACTATTCTGGTTGCCCCCCTCCCCTCGTGCCCCTGTCAAGCAGAAGACCCCCCCCCCCCTCCCGGGCATCCGCCTGTGGCTGGGAGGCCACCCCACGGGCCATCGGCGGTGGCTGCACTCCTTGGGTTGACGAATCTCTTTTTTCTTTTTCAGGGGCTTCGGAAAGCAGGGATTCCAGTGTCAAGGTAGGCTCCAAGGACGCTGGTGTTTCAGGAAGAGAGGGTGAAAAAGACTTTATCAAAGTGCCCGAGTTAGGTAGAGTGAAGTAATCCTACCGGTCAGCGCACGCAGCCACTCAGACTTTACCACCCAAGGGTTTTGTTAATGTGTGTGTGTGTGTGTGTGTGTGTGTGTGCGTGTGCGCACGCGCATGCTTGGGGTGAGGGCAGGCAGCAATCCAAGAAAAGGGGTAGAGCAGGGAGACCCTAAATGTCAAGAAAGGGCATCCACCTCTCCTTCCAGCTGCAATAGAGCCTAGACAGGTCTTCTCAGCCATAGCTCGACCACTCTGCTTCAGGAGCAAGGGTCCTGGGGACACTTACTGGGAGGTCCCTTTTGGCCTAATTCCAGCCCTCCCTCCCCCCAACCCCCTGAGCTGCTCACCCAAGGAGGTCTCCCTCATCTTGCACAGTGGGGCTTTGCCTGTCCCTGCTTCATGGAGGTCTCTCTGCAGGTGTCTGCCTCCTGTACAGATGGCGCATCCCCTAGAAAAACAACGGTGGTTCCCCTGGGCCTCCCCAACCCCTCCTTTTGAAAGAAGTGGTTCCAGATGGGGCGCCTCGCAGATCCTAGGTTCAGTTAGTTGCCCTTTCTGTCTTCTGGAGAGATACAGGAAAGCCTTCCAAAGACTGATGACCTTGGAGACTGTGTGTCTGGCTGTCTGGAGGTTCTTTGCTCTAACCAAAGATGCTCAGCCTTTGAGTTACTACAAGTGACTTGGTCGACCTTAGCGAAAAGATGGGTTACAGATTGGCTGTCCAAAGCCGGCTTACACATAAACGGGTTCACTGGTAGGATGTCTGCGAGGTTTTATGAATTGGATGTTAACGTTGTAGGATGGAAAGATTTCATATATATGTGTACATAGATGAATTTTCAACTTTGGCTTGGCTGGGAAAGGGTCCTCCACTCTCATGATAGAATTTTGGTTTGGAATGGAGGCAGTGACTTTCATGGAAACGAGATATCTAGTCACCATTTAGTCTCTCGGTCCATTCTGTTCTACCCCTCACTTTGTTGGTTGGGTGCTGTCCCTTAGTTAGTTTTTTTTTTTTTTTGTTCAAGGCTGGTGCTCAACCACTTGAGCCACACCTCCACTTCTGCCTTTTTTTTTGCTGGTTTATTGGAGTGAAGAGTCTCATGGACTTTTCTGCCTGGGCTGGCTTTGAACTGTAATCCTCAGATCTCAGCCTCCTGAGTAGCTAGGATTACAGGCGTGAGTTATCAGCACCTGGCTCAAGTTTGTGTGTACATGTATGTGTGTGCGTGTGCATGTGTGTGTTTTCCCTTTCCTCACTTTGAAGCCAGGTGTAGTTGAGTTTGGTGAGAAATGGCATTTTCCTGGGTATGTCTTGGGGTCAAATTGGTGGGGGACTGGATTTAAGTCAGGAGAAGAATGCATTTGCCAGCTAAAGAGCTTGAAATGATGGAACCCTGGCTGATGGCATCATTGAATGGAGGAGCCTCTGTGAGTTACGGTGTGCTGTCCCCTCTGTGGCCCGCTGTTCTGTGGGGACTGGGGCAAGTTCAGCTGGCTGCCTTCTAGACCTTTGAAACCTCTCTCACCAAGACCTGGAGACTTAATTTCATGCACCACACCAGAGGGCTCCCCCAGTCCCTGTGATCCAAACAGTTTGTATCATTTTCTAGGACTTTTCCTTAAAGTTCTAATGACATCTCGGTGCCAGAATGTGTAATTTCTTCCTCGAGGCTTGCTTTTTTAACTTCCACAAGTCCATTTTTGACTTTGTCTCCTGCTGAGGTCAGAGATATTTAGACCTCCCCCCCCCTTCTTCTGTGCTGTGCCACCTGCTGTACTGTCACTGATGGCTGGAATAGTCACTTGTGAGTGTGCGTGGGCAAATCTGAAGCAAAAGATTGTTTTATTTAAAGCCTAGAAATAATGGTGTCATGAGACAAAGAATATCAGAATTAAAGTTTTATAATGAAGTATGCCTGCTTTAGAAATAGCAGTGTGTGTGTGTGTCTGTGTGTGTGTGTGTGTGTGTGTGTGTGTGTGTGTAATGTGGCTTGAACTCAGGGCCTTGTGCTCTCCTTTAGCTTCTTTGCCCAAGTTTGGAGTTCTACCACGTGAGCCACAGGTCCACTTCTGGCTTTTTGGTGGTTAATTGGAGATAAGAATCTCATGGACTTTCCTGCCCACACTGGCTTCAGACAATGATCCTCAGGTCTCAGCCTCCTGATAGCTAGGATTACAGGTGCGAGCCACCACTGCCCAGTCGGGATTAGCATTTTAATGAGAAACACGAAGGCTTTATTCTGCCACTGAAGTCAGCCATCCAGAACCCTGTTCCTTTCAGCTTCCTGTCTTACCACCCTTAGTGAGTTAGCTTATGGTCCAGGAAGACACTGGCCCTTGCAATCACCATATCCTTGTCAGCCAGCAGTAAGCAGGAAGGGTTAAGGAAAGACAAAGCATGCAGGCTCACGGTCAGTTTTTCTATTAGCTTTCATGTTTTCTCAGCTATAACTTAACCACAGAGCCGGTGCCTTGCTTCAAGGAATTCATGGGCTAGGCAGGTCTTATTCAGGTAGCCGTGTTCCCAGCCAAGAGCTCAGGGAAGGCAGCAGAGCCAGGAATTACAGGAGCTGCGTGGGGGTAATTACAGGACCAAGGAGCCACCGAGAGCTGCCTCATTATGCTCTTAGGGAATCTGGGAATGTTGGCATGCGTTGGGAGAAAGAAGTCCATACACTATGTGAATTAATGGATTGTCATGTGCTCCCTGGAGTGTAAAACTAGGGTGTTTTGCCAGGTGCTGGTGGCTCACGCCTGTAATCCTAGCTACTCAGGAGGCTGAGATCTGAGGATCATGGTTCAAAGCCAGCTCAGCAGGAAAACCTATGAGACTCTTGTCTAGTTAACCACCAGAAAACTAGAAGTGGAGCTTTGGCTCAAAGTGGTAGAGTACTACTCTTGAATTAAAAAAAACTCAGGGACAGCACCCAGGCTCTGAGTTCAAGCTCCCTGACCCTCCCCTCTCCCCCCTGCCCCACAACACACACAAAAGAATAGATTGTTTTGTACTGCTGGAGTACAAAACTCTTGGTTGATTGACACATAATTTCTTCCTTCTTGCTTTCACTGTATGTTTAACCCCCAAACGACTCTGCTAGGTTAGTGGCTCACTCCTGCAATCCTTGCTACTCAGGACACTGAGATCTGAGGATCGTGGTTCAGAGCCAGCCCGGGGAAGGAAAGTCTGTGTGACTTTTTATCTCCAATTAGCCAGCAAAAAAGCTGAAATTGGAGCTGTGGCTCATGTGGTAGAGCACTAGCTTTGAGTGTAAAAACACAAGGACAGTGTCCAGGCCCTGAGTTCAAGTCCCAGGACCAGCACACACAAAGTTATTATCAAGTAGTTACACAAAGGGATTTCATTGAAACATGTCAGTTTGTAAATGAATTGTATCTTGATTCATGTCACCCCTTTCATCACCTTCTCCCCATTCCTCCCAATCCTTCCCCTCCCCTCAAGTTCCCTGATTCCATTTTCACATGTGTACATTGTGTACCATGACTATTTTTGCCCCCTCTCTTCATGTTTCTAGGTCTCCTCTCTTTCACCTTCAACTGTTAACCTGTAACTTTGTTCTTCATAAAGGTTACACCATTGGAATCCTCCCCCTTGGACACCATTCCTGGTCAGTTTGTGTGTATCAGCATATAGCCCTGTATATAGTTCTGGTATTTAGCTTATTTAGATCTAAACTTCTACCTGTGAGAGAAACTAGGCATCCTTTGTCTCTCAGAGCCTGACTTACTTCATGTATTTTGGAAAACTTGAAATGGGGAAACAACAAAATACAGAGATGCAGAATTTGTAGTGTAGGGTTGGAGTCAGACACAAGGGAGCCCGAATCTCTGACCTGCCATCTACTCGTGGAATGACCTTGGCACATTCTGCCTCCCTCTTCATCTGTAAAGTTGGGGCAACAGTGTCTATGTTTTGGGGCTATGGCCCGCAGTAGTTCTATAGTGTAAGAGTAACATCACAACACGTATCAGTGGTTCAAAGTGAGATGATCATTTTTACTTGATGAGTTGTGGGAAAATGTGTTGAAATGGGACAGTGACTTCTGGAACTCTCTAAATGAGTCTGCCTGTTTCTTGTGCTCAGATGGGGTTTCTACTTAGGTAGATTTCTCCATAGACTTTGAATAATGGCTCAATGTCTGCACCAAGAAAGCCAGGCGTGGCTAGCTTCATTTTTCCTTTTGAGAAAGATCTGAACTTGCTATGGACTCTCCAGAAAACCCCCACGGACACTCATTTTCTGACTATCAAGAGGTAGAATCGATGATTCTAATGAGTAATTCAGCTCTTCACTTTGCTGTGTTGATTAAAAAACACTTTTTTTAACCTGTTAATTGAAATGATTCAACCTTTCTTAAAGCATTGCATGAACCCAACCGTTGTTTTCATCAATACCAGCCCTAGAGGACATGTTTATTTGGAAGTGTAGTTAACACATATAATTAGAAAAATGTACTTTTTGCTAGGTGCTAGTGGCTCATGCCTATAATCCTAGTTACTCAGGAGGCTGAGATCTGAGGATCTGTGGTTTGAAGCCAGACTGGGCAGGGAAGTCTGTGAGACTGTTATGTCCAATTAAGTACAGAAAAGCCAGAAATGGAGCTGTGGTTCAAGTGGTAAAGTAATAGCCTTGAGTGAAAAAGCCAAAGAACGGCACCCAGGTCCTGAGTTCAGGACCAACACACACACACACACACACACACACACACACACACACACACACACACACTTAAATGTACTTAAAAAATTAAAAAAAAACAGCAAATGAATCAGGGCTGATGATATAGCTTACTAGTAGAAGGTTTACTTAGTATGTGCAAGACCCTTGGTTCTCTCCCCAGCATTGTAAAACAACAACAACAACAAAACAAAACAAACCCCTCCCCTCAAAAAAACAGAGAAAGGAAA